GCAGAGGCGGGGGGGGGGGGGGAGGGAAGGGGGGGGGGGGGGGGTAGAGGGTAACGTGGGGACAAGGACACATATGTAATTTCTTAATCAATAAAAAATATATTAAAAAAATGCCACTATGGCATTTTTAATTAAATATCAGGAAGAGAAATATGTATATTTAAAATAATAATGTGGTTAAAGGAAAAATAAAAAACCTCTTTTTCTAGCTTGGTTAATGAGCAGAGGAAGCCATAGGCAGCTCCTTTATAGTAAGACCTATTAGAGGCTGGCACATGGACTCAACCCACACATCTGGCTTTAAACCCAGAGCAGAGGTTGGTGGTCTACTACGCAGTAGCAACTCAAGTCAATCTTGGGAAGATTTGGCCATTCATTCAGGTCAGTCTCATCTCTTTCTGTATTTTTCTCCTACCTTGAACAAATTTGTTTTTATGATTGTTCACTTGTTCATACAATACGGTGTCATGGGTATTAAGACACAGACTTGTAGAGCAGCTGAAACTGCAGCTGGCCAGTAGCACATTGTCTTCAGAATGGAGCATCACTTGCTCCTCTGGATAGCTATCTACTTAACCCAGTGAGACCCAGCTGAGCTCTTCCTGATGTCCCTGGGAAATTCTTATCCACAGTAACATTAGGGATTCTCTGCCAACAACTTCTGTGGCTGTTTTTTTTTTTTTAATATATCTTATTGTTTTTTTTACAGAGAGGAAGGGAGAGGGATGGAGAGTTAGAAACATCGATGAGAGAGAAGCGTCAATCAGCTGCCTCCTGCACACCCCCTACTGGGGATGTGCCCGCAACCAAGGTACATGCCCTTGACCGGAATCAAACCCGGGACCTTTCAGTCAAACCGGTTACGGCTTATGTGGCTGGTTTTGCTCCCATTCCCAAATAATCTGAGAATCCTATGTGTGCCCTACCATAGGGGAAGAGCATGAAAAGCATTCTATATGAGCCTGCTCCAATGTCACCTGCTGGGCTGTGGTCTGATTCAGGTAATTCAGAGACAGTGAGACATCCTGCACAATAAACACCAGTGTGAGCATGCTGCTTTTCTTTGCTGGCATCATATAAAACACAGATTAAATTTTTTTTTCCTTTTCTCTAAGCATGTATGTGGCGTGCGCACACACACACACACACTATAAAAATAGAAATAATTAGCCCTAACCGGTTTGGCTCAGTGGATAGAGCATCAACCTGCGGACTCAAGGGTCCCAGGTCTGACTCTGGTCAAGGGCATGTACCTTGGTTGCGGGCACATCCCTAGTAGGGAGTGTGAAGGAGGCAGCTGATCGATGTTTCTAACTTTCTATCCCTTTCCCTTCCACTCTGTAAAAAATCAATAAAATATATTTTTTTAAAAATAGAAATAATTAAATTAAATTATATGAATAAAAGCATTATAGTAATGTTAACAATCTAGACAATCCTTTTAATTTTTTAAGGATAGAGCAACTCTAGCAAGAAAACAGGAAATTCATTTCTGAAAACAAAATTATTACCAATCAATGAAAACACCAATATGTTAAAAGGATCTACTCTCTTGTCTACAAAGTCATCTTCTATGCCCTACATTTAGGAAACAGGCCTCTCTTCTCCCCATCATCAGCCCCACAGCCTGCAACAATGGCACCGAGCCTAGCATTCTCTGTGTTCTGTGCAACTCTGAGCTCTTTAGCTGAACATATGTGAGTTTAATGTGATAAAATAACCCTAGTAGTGAAAACGTCAGAATCTAGTGTAAAAGAATATTATTATCCAACAAAAACTTGAAATTATTACAAGTAGAAAGAAGGTAAGGCAATACTGGTTTTATTCAATAATCAACAAGCTTAGAGACTACCAATTTCTGGAAACACCTGCAAAAAATAAGCGTAATTTGTCTGAGACCTTCAAAACAAATTAGACATTCCTGAAACAAGCCTGTGACTCTGAGCAGTGATGATATGTTAAGCTGACTTGTAAGAGAAAGGCATGATAGTGACAGGGTAATGCAGAGGCTAGCCAGGGGGAACTGTGGCTATTTGACAACTGCTTAGGATGAGTAGATAGTTCTATTACTTATGTTATATCCTATTGTGCTTTGTTTTAAATGTGTTAACCATGATTGAAGTTTCATAATCTCTCCTTCATATCCTGTTATGAACTTTAAATGTAATGTTATAGATATATCATATGCATTTTAATTCCCAGAATGCCCTTCTAAAATACTTTCAAGATTAAGACAGCTAACTTCTTAACAGCAACTTAACTGTAAGGACTGTCTTACCCTCAGAGAAGAGATGCTCTATCCCAACAAACAGCTGTAAAAGCTTTCCCAGCTCGTACTGGGTCCTGCTCTGCTGCAGCATAAGCTTCAAAAGAAAACACACCTGCTCCTTCAGCCATGGGACAGGGATGGCAGCGTGGACCTTTATGGCTGCTGTTTCAAGCTACAAAAAAAAGACAGGGTCAGGGAAAGTGGTTTCACAGGGACAACTCAAAACCTCCAAATGGCCATCCAAAGTGCTGATCTGTCACAAAGGGGAAGCTTCTTCAGGTCCTCTCGAGGGCAGGAAGCAGCAGTGTGCCTCTTTGTGGGGCATCTTGGTGTAGAGAACTGTGTGTGTGAAAGTCAAAGATGGGAAAGAGACCCAGGACTACTTTGGAGTGAACTGATGCAAATACACCCCCTTACTGACTAACAGCCCTGTGAGTTGCTGTGAAATTAAGCAGACATGTTTCACTTAAAAGCTTCTTCAGAGGATACAGGCTGCCCTTAAATCCAGAAGTTTGGCAATTCACATATGAAAGAAGACCTCTTAGAAAGACTTGCTTAACATTGCTGAGCTGGTTCTAATAGTTATCTTATCCTATATAATAAAAGGCTAATATGCAAATAGATCGAATGGCAGAACAACTAGAACAACTGAACAACTGGAATGGCTATGACGTGTGCTGACCACCAGGGGGTGTGTATGGAACATGGCAGGCGTTGGTCACGATGGGATGGTGGAGCGGGTGAGCAGGGGCGCCAGATCAAGGCAGGGCACCGGTCGCTGTCATTGGGGCGAGCCTCTGGTGGTTACTGAAAATTCTTTGCTCCCTTGCGCCGCAGTCCCACTGCCGCTTGCACGATAATATTTAAACACTGATTCAAAATCCTACTATTAATTTGTATATTAAATATATACTAAGGAGAAAAATATTTATTCAGTGCTATGTTTTATTTTAGATTGAAACACCCAATGTATTCATGGTCAATCTAATCCTATGTAATAAACAGGTAATATGCAAATTGACCATCACTCTAACACACAAGATGGCTGCCCCCATGTGGTCACAAGATGGCCAGCAAGGGAGGGCAGTTGTGGGTGATCAGGCTGCAGGGGAGGGCAGTTGGGGGTGACCAGGCCGGCACTCAGAGGTAGTGAGGGGCAATCAGGCCAGGAGGGGGGTCCGTTAGGGGCAACCAGGCAGACAGGCAGGTGAGCGATTAGGAACCAGCAATCCAGGATTGTGAGATTGGGCCTAAACTGGCAGTTGGACATCCCCCAAGGGGTCCTGGATTGGAGAGGGTGCAGGCTGGGCTGAGGAGACCTCCACCCCCTGTGCACAAATTTCGTGTACCAGGTCTCTAGTAGTTTATAATACCACTAGAGAAGATTCTCAGTTAAGAAGGTTCTCAGTTATCGTATTTCAAGGAAATGATAAAAATATTAACAGGAAAATGACCCCAAGTAGCAGGCCTCATTAGTTTGAATTAGAACATGATTTAGTCTTGATTTCTGGTTTATTTACCTCTGTTGCCCTATGAAGAGAAACTACAGCAGGCAGATGATGGAACTGGTTAAAGGAACAAACATATGGGAATAAAAGGTTGAGGCAAGGATGGAGCAGCTGCATTGCCCCTTTGCAAAAGGCTGCAGCAGGAGAAGTCAGCTAAGAATAAGAAGATATCTGGGAAGACCTAAACATAAAACTCAAACTGATAAGCTGAACTCATTAAAATTAAAAACTCTCTCTAAAAATCAATGGAAAAATGTCCTCAGGTGAGGATTAACAACAACAACAAAATAGAAGGTTCAACACAGCAAGAAAATATGACAATTATAATCACATACACATCTAATGACAGACCACCAAATATATGAAGCAAAACCTGATGAAACTGCAGGGAGAAATAGACAGTTCCACAATAACTGTTGGAGACTTTAATACTCCACTCATAATAATGGACATAATAACCAGACAGAAGAAAACAATGACAAGAAATGCATTCTTCTCAAATGCACATGAAATGTTTCAGAACAGACCATATGTTAGGATACAAACTAAGTCTCAATAGATTTTAAAAGACAGATATCATACAAAGTATCTTCTCTGACCACAGTGGGATGAAGTTAGAAGTCAGTAACAAAAGGAAACTGTAAAATTCACAAAACTTTAGAAGTTAAACAATATACTTTTAACAAGAGAGAAGACTCAAATTACTAAAATTAGAAATGAAAGTGGGGACATCACTACTGATTCTACAGAAAATAAAAAGGATTATAAGAGAGTACTGTGAAAAAATTATATGCCAAAAACTGGATAACCTAGATGAAGTTGATAAATTCCCAGAAACACAAAACCTACCAAGACTAAATCACAAAGAAATATATCATCTGAATAGACTTATGACTAGTAAAGAGAGTGAATCATCAATCAAAAATCTCCCAACAAAGGAAAGTCTGGACCTGATAGCTTTACTGGCAAATCACACATTTAAAGTACTAATACCAATCGTTCTCAAACTTCTCCAAAAAATTAAAGAGGAGGAAACACTACCTACCTTATCCTATGAAACCAACATAAGGTTGACAACAAAGACAAAGAAAACTACATACTGATATCCTTTATGAGCACTGATGCAAAAATCTTTTACAAAATACTAGCAAACTGCCCTGACCGGTGTGCCATAGTTGGTTGGGCATCAGCCAGTGCACCAAAAGGTTGCCACTTCGATTCCCAGTCAGAGAATATGCTAGGTTGAGGGCTTGATTCCCGGTATGAGGCATGCAGGAGACAGCTAACCGATGTCTTGCTCTCACATCGATATTTCCCTCACTTTCCCTTCCTCTCTCTCTAAAAATCAATTTAAAAAATCATTTAAAAAATACTAATAGCCTTAGCCCGTTTGGCTCGTTGGATGGAGCATTGTTTCTCAGAAAAAAGGGTCCCAGGTTTGATTCCAGTCAAGGGCACATACTTCATCGAAGGTTTCATCCCTGGCACTGGTTGGGGAGCATGTGAGGAGGCAACCAATCAATGTATCTTTATCACATTGATGTTTCTCTCTCTCTGTCTCTCCCCCTCCATTCCACTCTCTTTAAAAATCAATGAAAAAAACAAATCCTCGGGTAAGGATTAACAACAAAAAAATACTAATAAACTGAATTCAGCAGCATATTAAAAAGACTATACACCATTACAAAATAGGATTTATTCCTGGAATGCAAAAATAATTCAACATACAAAAATCAATGTACACACCACATCAATAGGACAAAAGAAAACACCACATGATCATCTCAATGCAGAAAAAGTGACAAAATTCAACACCATTTCATGATAAAAACACTCCACAAACGAGGAACAGAAGGAAACTTCCTCCATATAATAAAAGCCATATGTGAAAAGCCACAGTGAACATCATACTCGATAGCAAAAGACTGAAAACACTGCTATAAGATCAGGAACAAGGCAAGGATTCCCACTTTCAACTCTTCTTTTCCACATAGTCCTGGAAGTTCTAGCCAGAGCATTTCGGGGGGAAGAAGAAGGTGGAAGAAGTGATCCAAGTTGAAAAAAAAAAAGAAGTAAAATTATTTCTATTCAGATGATATAATTTTATATGTAGAAAACTCTAAAGATCCCACACAAAAAAAACTCAGAATAAATGAATTCAACAAAGTAACAGGAGAGAAAAAGTCACCACACAAAAACCAGTTTCATTCCTATAAACAATTAACAATCTGAAAAGGAAATTATAAAAATAATTCTAACAATATCAAAAAGAATAAAATATTTAAGACATTAACTTAACCAAGAAAGTAAAAGATTTGTACAATGAAACTACAAAATGCTGCTGAAAGAAATTAAAGATATAAAAAATGGGAACACATCCCATGTTACTGGAATGGAAGTCTAATTGTAAATATTATCTAAAGCAATCTACAGAGTCAATGCAATCCCTATTAAAATCCCAATGATGCTTTCACAGAAACAGAAAAACCCATCTTAAAATCATATGGAATCCCAAGGGACCCCAAAGAGCCAAAACAATCTTTTATTATTATTATTTTTATTTTTATTTTAGAGAGGAAAGGAGAGGGAAGATAGAGATAGAAACATCAATGATGAGAATCACTGATCAGCTGCCTCCTGCACACCCCTATTGGGAATTAAGCCCGCAACTTGGGCGTGTGTCCTCAACCGGAATCACACCTGGGATGCTCTATCCAGAGACAAACCGGCTAGGGCCCAAAACAACTTTGAAAAAGAACAAACTCATACTTCCTGATTTTAAAACGTATTACAAAGCTACAGTAATCAAAATTGTGTGGCATTGGGATAAAGACAGACATATAGACCAATGGAATAGAAAAGAAAGCCCAGAAATAAATCCTTGCATATATGGTCAAATGATTTTTGACAAGGGTGTCAAGACAATTCAATGAGGAAAGCACAGTCTTTTCAACAAATGGTGCTGGGAAAACTGACTATCCACATGTAAAAAAATAAAGTTGAACCCCTACCTAACAAGATATACAAAAATTAACTCCAAATGGACAAAAGACCTAAATGTAAGACCTAAAACAATAAAACTAGAAGAAAACATAGGACAAAACCTTTATAACATTGGATTTGGCAATGATTTCTTAGAAATGACACCAAAGGCATAGATAACAAAAGAAAAAATACACAAATTGGAACTCATGAAAATGTAACAATTTGTATATAAAAAGATACTATGAAGAGAGTAAAAGAGCAACTCACACAATGGGAGAAAATATTTGCAAATCATATATCAGGTATGGGATTAATACCCAGATTATGTAGAGAATTCTTGAAACTCAACAATAAAAAAAACCCACACAACCCAATTTAAAAAAGGGGCTGGGTGGATAGGAGCAAAGGGGAAGAAAATGGGGGACATCTGCATACTGTCAACAATAAAAATAATGGGTAAAAAGCTTAGACATTTCTGCAAAGAAGATACACAAATGGCGAATAAGCACATGAAAAGATGCTCAACATCACTAATCATTAGGGAAATACAAATCAAAACTACAATGAGACACCACCTCACACCCGTTAGTATGATTACTATTAAGAAAACAGAGACCAAGTATTGGTGAGGATGTAAAGAAATAGGAACCCTTATGTAATACTGTTAGAAATGTAAAATGGTAGTCACTGTGGAAAACAGTATGGTATTCCTCAAAATATTAAAAGTATAATTACCATATCAGCAAGCAATTCTACTTCTGAGTAAACACCCAAAAGAATTGAAAGCAGGATCTCAAAGAACTATTTGTATACCATGTCATAACAGCATTATTCACAATAGCTAAAATGTTGAAGCAACCCAAATGTCCATCGATGAATGAATGGACTAGCAAAATGTGGTATATACATGCAATGCAATATTATTCAGCATTAAAAAGGAAGGAAATCCGGGCATATGCTATGGATGAACTCTGAGGATATTATGCTAAATGAGATAAGCTAGTCATGAAAAGAGAACTACTATACAAATCCACTTATGAGATACTTAAAGTAGTAAAAACCATAAGGACAGAAAACAGAATGATGGTTGCCCGGGGCTAGGGATAGGGGGAGAATAAAGAGTTATGGTTTAATGGGTATAGCTTCAGTTTTACAAGATGAAGAGAGTTATTTTGGAGGTGGATGGTGGTGATGGTTACACAATAATGAGAATGTATTTAATACAACTGTACACTTAAAAATGGCTAAGGTGGTAAATGTTATGTATATTTGACCACAAATAACAAAAGAAGATACCTACTAGGGTGCCAAGCCATGGAGAGTTATAGACCAAGGAAATTAATGTCCCTATTTTCTGTGATTTAGAAAACTCATGCATATTTGAATAATTGATTCTGTATTTTCAAATAATAATCTCCATTACAGTGAAGACCAATGTGATTGAGAGCAAAAGCCTATACTGAGGTTCCACTGTCATAAATTTGTTGTGTAAAATCAGTAAATAGTTTTGCCTTATTTATCATAGAGCTCTTTTGTGGTAGAGAAGGCAAAAGTGCCAAAACTCCAGGCAGGATTAAGGTATATTTCTTTTCAACAGGCTATCGTGAATTGTTAAAACGTGGCCCATGTATCATCATGCTCTTCTCTAGCATCCATAGCAGATACCATGAGTTCCTTTCCCACTGAGCTTGGCTGCCGCATCAGGATACTGGTCAGAGTTAGCACATTAGATGAAACCTGTCACCCTTGGCAACTGAGGTGATTCATAAGCAAGGCCACTGTCACTCCTACCCTGACTCGCTATCTCTGGCACAGTACAAATGATTTCATTTGAATTACACCACAGAACAGCTGTTTACCTAATGTCACATCCCGACTACTAGCAGACAGCAGGCCACTCTAACAAATTTCAGATCAGTAAGAAAGAACATATTATTCTAACTTACAGTTTCAAGGCTCTTCTGGAACTCCAGTAGTTTAGCTTTGGCTTCCTTATAATTCTTGAAGAACATACAGAGTTCATACATCTCCAACATCAGTAGTAATGGGGAATCCTTTGAAAAAGAGTTTGAAAGAAATTACAAAATCCTGCCCGGTTGGTATGGCTCAGTGGTTGAACCTTGGCTTATGAACCAGGAGGTCACAGTTCGATTCCAGTCAAGGGCACATGCCCAGGTTTCAGGCTCCATCCCTAGTAGGGGCTGTGCAAGAGGCAGCCAATCAATGACTCTCTATCATCACTGATGTTTCTATCCCTCTCTCCATCTCCCTTCCTCTCTCTAAAGTCAATAAAAACATATTTAAAAAAAAAGACAAAATCCTGAACTTAATACTATTTTCTCATGAATAATGGCAATATAAGAGAAGGTTAAAGTAAAAGACAAATATTATTAATAGCAGCTTCATAGAATTAAATTATGTATGTTAAAAAGAAAGGAAGTTACATCTACTCAAAGGTCGGTCCATTTTCTGTCTATCCTATACTTGGTCCAACACACAAGAGCAGGACATAGTCCACTAGATGGTGCTAGGAAACCTTTACATACACCTCCTGATAATGGCTCCAGTGACCTGCCAACCTACTGCTTGCTGCCTGTGGCATCAATCCACACAGTTCCATCACTTCAGTGAGAGCTTTCCAGTCAGAGCACAGGAGTCTGGGAATTAGAAAGTATGGGTCTGAACTGTAAGTACTCTGCTCACTAAATTACTGTGAAATCCTGCGCATGTTACTTAAGTTCTGTAAACCTTGGTTTATTACTATGTAAAATGAGGACAAGACCACTTCATAATATCCTAACACAATTACCTTTTGGGGATTATTGTGTGAATTGACTAAAATAATGTATAGAAAGCACTCTGCTAAATAAATGGTAGTTCTATTATCATTATTTGTTATGGGCTACAAAACAGATTTAGGCCTGGTTGGTGTAGCTCAGTGGTTGAATGTTGACCCATGAAGCAAGAGGTCACAGTTTGATTCCCAGTCAGGGCACATGCCTGGATTGCAGGCTTATCCCCCAGTAGGGGGGATGCAGCAAGCAGCCGATCAATGATTCTCTCTCATCATTGGTATTTCTGTCCCTCTCTTCCTTCCTCTCTCTGAAATCAATAAAAGCATATTTAAATAAATAAATAAATACCTTAAAGAAAAGCTGGAAACCTCTGATGAGAGTTTTGCTCTTCTGCCTTGTTAATAATGTTCTCCAGATGACTGAGAAGTCCTCAAGGTCCCATGTATGGCCCTCCAATGAGTCCTGAATGTGTCCCATTGCTTCAGCTGCAATACTGTCCTCCACAGAAGCGATGATCCAAACACAGAGACAAGAAATAGCACTGGCATCCTACCATTGAATAAAAACTTTTCAAAATAAAATAACTGGGCTTGGATTACCTGACAAGGGAAGTTTCCAGTAATGCTACAACTACAGATGGCTATTTCCTGTTCAGGAAAAATCACCTCACTAAATTGGTTAAAGTGGCTTGAAAATCCTTCAAAGGTGAAATAAACTCTAATGAACAACCAAGGGACTTTTATAAACCATCCTGTAGGGTATGGCAGGTGAAAAGGCCAAGAGACTGAGAGGATATATGTGAGTCAGGGAAGTACTAAGTATAAGAAAACACACAGAACTGCTGACCAAGGGACTGTCTGGAGTATCCTTCTTCCCTGCTCAGAGGCAGTGGTGGTCAGTCCACCAAAGCATCCTTCTCTGTGACTGCCAACCAGGAACCAAGGCTCTGACCACTTAAGCTATTATATGTCAAGGCACAAAGAAGTGCACTGGATGGCCACACTGGAGAAGCATAAAGAGTTGCAGTGACCTTGAGGCTAGAGCCTAATATCATCATTCCCCCTACACCCTCTGATTATCAGCCTTTCCTGTCCCTCCCCAATTCTTCTATTACTCTCTGGTTCCTTAATTTAGGCTTCTCATGATTCTCACCTGCAGACATGAGGCTAGGACACTAAGAATAGGGGACTGTTGTTTCACTGCTTCAGCCAGGAGCCAGCACCAGGAGTTTGGCTCCTCTGAGCACCGGAGCAGAATTTCGAAGAAATCAGTTCTCTCTTCTTTGCTTTTCTGGAGTTCCTGGGGGGACTTGTTGCAGACTTGATCACTATCCATTCTGGAGTTGGCCACTGAGGGCAAGTTCTCAAAAGCTAGCCTTAAGTGGTCTTGAAGGACAGGGCTGAAATACTGGAGAAGAGATTTCACCTGGAAAACACATTAGATGATTAAAACAGACAACCAAGTTATTTTTATTTCTCAGTTATAGTTGACATTCAGTATTATTTTATACTCGAGGCCTGGTGCATGAAATTCATGCACAGGTAGGGTTCCTAGACCTGGCCAGTGATCAGGGCCAATCTGTGGGGCAACAAGCAGGGTGATCGGGGGATGGGGAGCCCCCGCTGGCACCCGCCTTGGCTGGCCTGGGGCCTACGAGCTTGTGGGAAGCTCCTGCATTGAGCGTCTGCCCCCTGGTGGTCAGTGCACATCATAGCGACCGGTCATTCAGCCAGTTGTTCTGCCATTTGGTCGATTTGCATATTAGGCTTTTATTATATAGGATTAGTTTCAGTTGTACAGCATAATGGTTAGACAATCATATACTTTATGAAGCGACCCCCCCCAATAAATAGTTCCCACCTGGCACCATACGTAGCTACTACAATATTATTTACTATATTCCCTAGGGTATGCTTTACATCTCCATGACTATTTTGTAGCTACCAATCTGCACTTCTTAATCCTTTCACCTTTTTCACCTAGTTCCCAAACCCTACCCATCTGGCAACCCTCAGTTTGTTCTCTATCTCTATGAGTCCGTTTCTGTTTTATTTATTTTGTTCTTTAGTATCACATATAAGGGAAATCATATAGTATTTGTCTTTCTCTGTCTGATTTATTTCACTTAGCATAATTACCCCTTGGTCCATCCATGCTGTCTAAAATGGTAAGATATTCTTTTTATGGCTGAGTAATATTCCACTGTATATATGTGCCACATCTTTTTTTTAAATGCATTTTTATTGATATCAGAGAGGAAGGAAGAGGGAGAGAGAGAGATAGAAATCAATGATGAGAGAGAATCATTGATCAGCGGCCTCCTGTACCCTCCACACTGGGGATCAAACCCACAATCTGGGCATGTGCCCTGACCAGGATTTGAACCATGACCTCCTGGTTCTTAGATTGATACTCAACCACTGAGCCACACCAACAGGGTGTGCCACATCTTTTTTATTCAATTGTCTATTGATGGGTACTTGGATTGTTTCCATATCTTGGCTATTATAAATAATGCTGCATTGAACAAAGGGGTGCATATATCTTTTTGAATTTTGTTTGAGATTTCTTCAGATAAATACTCAGAAGTGGAATTGTTGGTTCATAAGATAGTTCTATTTTTAATTTTTTGAGTAACCTCTATACTGTTTTCCGTAGGGGCCACACCAATTTGCAATCCCACCAACAATGCACAAGGCAGATAACCAAGTCTCAATTTCAGCTGGAGCTGAAAATGTTAGAAAAAAGCATAAGAAAAATTGTTCTTTCTCAACCTGAACCTTGTCAGAGGTGACCATATAATTTTACAAAGCTGTTTGCTGCTTTTGAGTGAATTTCCATTTGTAATCTGGAGTCACAAAGTTCTTCCTTCATCTCTTTAGTAATAATGACTAGTCCTTTGTCTGAAGCCAACCCACTAAAATTTTAGTAAAAATAATAGTATCATATATTTAAAAAAAGCCTATGTGTTCACAACAGAAAGGACAATATTTTCACTCTAAGAAGTGTTCCAATATCCTCTTGCATAACTAGCAACAATCAGTGGCTTACCTCATCTGGGTGGTAATTATGGAGCTGGCTGTGAATAATGAACTGTAACCAATCATTTGCTTTGGCACATTCTCTAAGGTAAGACGTGCTCAGTTTTATATTATGGAGCCTGCAGAACTGTACCACCAATGCCCACTGGATGCTAGATTCGCTGTATAACCTGTAATTGGGGGTGGGAATGGTAGAGAGAAAAACCTGTTAAAATATTGCTTTAGTTTTAAACTGAAAAATTAAATAAATTTAACTACAGTATATTCTCTAAAAAGCTTTTCAAGCTCAGCTGGTGTCGTTCAGTGGTTGAGCGTTGACCAATGAACCAGGAGGTCGAGGTTCAATTCCTGGTCAGGGTACATGCCCAGATTGTGGGTTTGATCCCCAGTAGGGGCATGCAGAAGGTAGCTGATCAATGATTCTTTTTCATTGATGTTTCTATCTCCCTCTTCCTTCCTCTCTGAAATCAATAAAAATATATTTAAAAAAATAAAAAGCTTTTCAAAAAATACCAAATATTTATTAGATTGTTTTGAAAAAAACAAAAAAGAACTGTTAACACACAATAGCTTTCTTACAATTCATTCCTTTTATCAAGCAAGTATCTATCAAACTAGCTATGTATAATCTTTTAGGAAAAGTGAAAAAATAGTCACTCAAGAAATCTTCTGAGTGCTTAATTATCTTTCATGATGACTCACTTCAGAGAATCAGAGCCCTGACAGGGGCCTGGACTTCCTCACTAAGGGGAAGATACCTCTTCCTGCTGGAAGTAGGAAGCTGTTGAGAACAGAATCAGTGATAGGTGTTTCAGGAGAATGGTAGGTACCCATGGTCTGGGGTGGCTGGGTCAGCCACAGTGGATAGCACGAGGAAGGATAGGAAGAACATACAGGGTGGGGCAAAAGTAGGTTTATAGCTGTTCATATGGAAAATAATACAATAAAATTCAAGGATAAACTGTTTCACACTCATAACTGTAAAGCTACTTCTGCCCCACTCTGTAAAAGGAGAGGAGCTTTTGTGGATAGATGATCACTTCAAATTCCAGTATCAACTGACATATCAGCAAGAAAACATTAAAGATATCAGAGTCAAATTTTCCGATATCCACCCCACATGTTCTGAAATGATTTCAACATCTACAATTTAATAGACTTCCTGACCAGTAGGGCAGTGGAGGGGGTAAAGCTCCTCTCCATCTCTTGGAAACTCCATCTCTTAAGAGGGAATCATGACAAGATTAAAAATGGTGGCAGAGTAGGAGGATGCTGCATGGACATGCTCCCAGGAACATGCTGGAATTACAAGTGAAATACGGAAAGGCTTCCTGAATAATCAACGGAAAACTCACAGGAGAGAACACTGATACCCAAGGACTGAAGATGGAGATGGCATAGAGACTGGTAGGAGGGATGGAGGTGGTAAAGGGCTGGCCAGGCACCCACACACGGCAACTGAAGTCCTGGAGAGTTATCTCAGGTGTGGGGAGAGCCACTGATAATCCCGGAGCTGGGCTCCCCAGCAGAGAGCACCAAAATGAGGAGGGTACCCACATAACATCTAGCTTTGAAAAGCAGTGGGGTGCTGTCTGCCAGGGAGTGGCAGCTGAAAGTTTGGGCACCCTCTTAGGGCCAACACACAAAAATTCCCTGTGGAGCCACCCACCTTGTACTATGACAGAGGGAGGGTGAAGTGGACTGGAGCTATGAGAGCAGAACCCAGGACTGGGGACTCGGGGTATAGAGCTCAGAAGGCAGACACCCCAAGTTCCT